TTACACCAATATTAACTTTAATATAGAAAGATCATTGTAATGTTACGCTTGTAAACATGATGGCAATGTTTTTATGACCTTAGCATTACTTCTTGATACAATTATGGATGCGATTAATTAAATGCTGCGAGTGCTTCGAGACGCCCGAAGGAAAGTCAGGATTGGTCCGTACACCACTTTGGAAGAGTTTGCAGTGTGTAATGGATCATGCCCATTATATTATGCCAATGTTTTAATAACATTGACGTTAATGTTTTAATAATATTAAAATGTTACTAAAACATTGGCGTAATATAATATTGTACAAAGAAATAACCCAGCAAACACAGAATATAACTGTTATATAACATAGGAGTAACATGTAATATAATATATGTTATACTCTAGTTATATTGAGGTTATATAATTTGGTTTCATAGTTGTAATATAATTATGTTATATATTTGTTACACTGTTCTGTTATAAGCTACCCTGGTAGCAGACTGACGTCAAATGACGTACTAATGACGTCTTAATGACGTCTCTAACGTCATTAAGACGTCATTAGTACGTCATTTGACGTCAGTCTGCTATCTGGGTAGAGATAATATAATAATATAACATTAAAGTTAATTTTGGTGTAATATATTTGTGCTATGTTGGTCTGTACTGTTCAACTAAGCCAAGTAAAGATAAATATATGAACATTTGTACATACTTTTATTTTAGTGTCCAGCATAGATTTTCGTTGTTTTTGTTTCATATATGGCGATAAATCTCTTATTAACATAAGCACTAATGTTTTGTTAACCTGAATAATTTAATAAATTTTTCATCGCTTATATTAAAAGCTTCGGCTGCCACATTTTTTATACAATATCTTCTAATATTTAAATGTTCATGTCCAGCTTCTTGAGCAACTACAAAATTATTCATTATATTCATAATTATGTTCGTATTCCTTATTATTACTGTATTACTTCTTACTACTTTGTACTATTGCTTCATTAAAAGTCACTCGTAAAAGTCTTCGTAAGTGAAAAACGACTACCTCAGACTACTCGTTGCATTATGTACGTAAATTTGTATATACATTTTAATACATATACTCTGGAAAAGTTAGAGAATAGATTTTGACGTGCGAACATTCGTAACTTGGAATTTGCATATACGTTTCTCTCAAACGTAAGTTAGAGAATCGGGCCCCAGAAATCATTGAGCAAATACATGTTATTGTTTCTGAAGATCCAAATGTGACTATGCGTGAAATTGCTCATACCATAGGAATTTCAAATGAATAGGTACGACATATTTTGCATAAAGAATTACAAATAAAAAAGGTGCTTGAAAAAGTGGTGCCGCATACGTTAACAATTCAACAAAAACTCGTTCGAAAGCAAATTTCTGAAAGCGTCATTTGGATCGTTTTAAGAAGAATAAAATCGATTTTGTGCATCGTTTTATAACTATAGATGAGACTTGGATCTATCACTATGATCCTAAATTGAAACAGGAACGTTTACAGTGGACTGAAGCTGGATGTTCCGTTGCAAAGCAAACAAAGCATGAAAGATCGGCAAAAAAGGTTTTGGCATCAGTTTTTTGGGATGCTAAAGGGATTTTATTAATTGACTATCTGGAAAAAGGTAAAACAATTAACTCTGAATATTATTGTAACCTTTTGGATTAATTGGACGCAAAAATTCGTGAGAAAAGACCTGGTTTGCAGCACAAACAAATCATTTTTCACCAAGCAACGCACCTGCTCACAAAAGTGTTTTGTCAATGTCTAAATTCAATGAATTGAAGTACAAATTGCTTGATCATCCACTGTATTCGCCAGATTTGGCATCCAGCGACTTTTATCTGTTCCGAAACCTGAAACAAGTCCTCCGTGGAAAGCAGTTTTTGTCGAATGAAGAAGCTATAGCAGCCGTAGAGGCATATTTCGCAGACCTTCCAGAAACACACTTCCGCGATGGAATAAAATTATTGGAGAGCCATTGGGCCAAGTGTATTGAAGAATAAAATCATTTGTAGAATTAGATATTCTTTATTTCAGTTTCGCTCCGCGAACTTTTTACGCAACCTGTATATATACGAGGGCGGTCCGATAAGTACTTAGCCTCACCGCCCGATGGTGCCACTATCGCAAGAGAAATTTACTATCGTGTAGTACATTCTCGTAGACGACTACTGTCGAAATTTCAGCCGAATCGGACTCGTAGTTTTGTTTTGACCGCGTGTGGAAGCGGGCGTGTCCGCGGATTTTAGAAAAATGGAAAAAGAGCAATATCGGTCGGTGATTCAATTCTTGTTTTTGGAAGGGACATCGCGCAGCGAAATCAAAGAGCGCTTGGATGCTGTGTACGGTGACTCTTCTCCTTCGATGGCGACCGTCAAAAATTGGTTTAACGAGTTTCAACATGGTCGCACGTCGGTTTTTGATGAGCCACGCCCAGGTGCCCCGAAAACGGCTACCACGGAGGATAACATGACAAAAATCCACGATCTCGTATTGGCAGACCGCCGATTGAAGGTGCGCGAGATAGCTGAGACAGTAGGCATCTCAAAAGACCGCGTGGGTCATATCCTGCATGAAATTTTGGGCATGAGAAAGCTGTCGGCGCGATGGGTGCCGCGTTTGCTCACTCCGGACAACAAGCGAAACCGTGAGACCACTTCAGAGCAGTGTTTGACGCTGTTTAAGCGCAATCCGAAGGAGTTTCTGCGTCGTTTCGTGACCGTCGACGAAACATGGATCCACTGGTACACACCAGAGACCAAGGAACAGTCGAAACAGTGGACTTCACCCGGCGAACGTGCTCCGAAGAAGGCGAAGACTGTCCTATCGGCCGGAAAGGTGATGGCCACCGTTTTCTGGGATTCACAAGGTGTGATCTACATCGACTACCTGGAGAAGGGCAAAACGGTCACAGGGCTGTCACTATGCCGAATTATTGGGCCGATTCGACGCCGAATTGCAGAAAAAACGGCCCCATTTGGCGAAGAAAAAAGTGCTCTTCCACCATGACGACAACGCACCGGCTCATACCTCCGCCCTCGCCACGGTCAAATTGGTCGAATTGGGCTACGAACTGCTGCCCCATCCACCGTATTCTCCAGATTTGGCCCCGTGCGACTTTTGTTTCCAAACTTGAAAAAGTCACTCGCCGGGCAGAAATTTGAGTCGAATGAGGAGGTCATCGCCGCCACGGAGGCCTACTTTGCAGACCTCGAGAAAACGTATTTTTCAGACGGGTTAAAGAAGTTGGAGCATCGCTGGGTCAAGTGTATCGAGCTAAAAGGAGACTATGTTGAGAAATAAATCGCCACTTTTCCAAAATTTTCGTTTTTCTTTTGTAGGCTAAGTACTTATCGGACCACCCTCGTATATTATAAGCGACTATACGCGAAGATACGGGACAACAACAGATAATTGTTAACTGTTAACTCCTACAAGTAACTGTAGGAACGATTAAAATTGTTGTAATATTAGAAGTTTATTAATGAATTTATTTTTATTTCTTATATTTCAGGACCAATTTTGTAAATATATATACAGGATGCTAAATACTTCGTAATTTGTCATCACATTCGCAGTTGCAAACACCAAGTGCTTTTTTTCTCTCGGTGCCTTAATTGATCCGAAAAATGCGTGTTGAATCTTGAGATCGTTTTAGGTCTGGCCAACTTTCTGAACGACGTTGAGTTTATGTTGCAAAGACGGTTATCGATTTTCTGGCGATTCTGCTGGAGCATCGTCACTCCGGCCATTATTCTTATCATCTTCATACACACATAAATCCTTCTATCCTGTATGGGCTTACAGTGAGTCATCTATTAATACTTAGATAAAAAGGGAAAAGCCTATTAAAGCTGTTAATGTGTCTTTTCCGCTACAGTCATAGGTTAGATTTTGTTCTCCGTTGCCGATTTTGTAAATATATATACAGGGTGCTAAATTTCAAACGTAACAGGTAAAAAATCTCGAAAACCATGAAAGATATTAAAAAAAGCTAAAACACGTGTTCCATGATTTCGAAGGGGAAAGAGAATGGCATTATCAATTTTTTATTTCGAGGGCATTCTCAAAGTCAGTTGAAGGACAACTTAATTTTTTTAAATAGGAAGCCCAATTTTTTATTATATTTTCATTTTTTATCAATTAATTTTAATAACTTTTGTCTGAAACATTTTTTTATTTACCTAATACTTTTTGAAATATTTAATATTTAAGGAAAACTTGCTAACTTTTCCAACATTTAACTTACGATATTTCGTTAACTATTCGTCAAAAGAAAAAATAGTATTAGACTTTTTTACTTTATTTACTATCAAGAATATATTATTATAAAAGTGCCCTAACTTTTGTTAATTTACAGACCTTTGGAAATTTCAGAATTATTACATTAACAAAAGTTAGGACATTATTATAGTAGTATATTCTTGATAGTAAATAAAGTAAAAAAGTTTAATACTATTTTTTCTGTCGACGAATAGTTAGCGAGATATCGTAAGTTAAATGTTGAAAAAGTTACCAAGTTTTCCTTAAACATTTCTAAAAAATATTAGGCAAATAAAAAATGTTTCAGACAAAAGTCGTTAAAATTAATTGGTAGAAAAAGAAGATATAATAAAAAATTGGGCTTCCAACTTAAAAAAATTAAGTTGACCTTCAACCAACTTTAAAAATGCCTTCCAAATAAAAAACTGATAATGCCATTCTCTTTCTCCTTCGAAATCATGGAACACGTGTTTTAGCTTTTTTTAATATCTTTCATAGTTTTTGAGATTTCTTACCTGTTACGTTTGAAATTTAGCACCCTACATATATTGGGTTAAATAAAAAGTTTTGAGCGTTTTCCGCTAGATGGCTTTAGTGAGGTCATATCTCACGATGCGTATACGTCGCATCTGGTCATTCTATACTGCGACTTAAAGATGACATAACGCTTTAAAAAAAGTTCTTTGACAGTTTTGTGTTTGGTGAAGCCAGTTGTGTGTTAGAGCGTTCCAAAATGGAGGTAAAAAAAGAGAAAATTCGATATATTCTTCAGTACCACTACGACCAAAGGGAACAAGCGGATCAGGCGGCCAAAAAAATTTGTGCTGTTTATGGACCCAATACAGTATCGAATGCAACAGCAAAGCGGTGGTTCCAACGATTCCGTTCTGGTAATATGGACGTCGAAGATGAGACACGCTCTGGTAGGCCAATCGTCGAAAATGTCGATAAAATCATGGAAATCGTCGAGTCGGACCGGCATGCGAGCTTTTATTCCATTGCTCAGGAACTGAAGATTAGCCAGAAAACCGTTTGGAACCATTTACATAAGGCTGGTCTCAAGAAGCTCGATGTATGGGTGCCACACGAATTGACGCAAAAGAACCTTTTAGACCGAATTCATGCCTGCGATTCTTTGCTGAAGTGTAACGAAATCGACCCATTTTTTAAGCGGGTGGTGACTGGCGATGAAAAATGGGTCACATACGAGAACAACAGGCGAAAAAGATTGTGGTCCAAGCGCGGTGAGCCGGTCCAAACGATCGCCAAGCCCGGCCAAGAAGGTTTTACTGTGTTTGGTGGGATTGGAAGGGAATCATCCACTATGAGCTGCTCCCATCGGGCCAATCACTCAATTCGGACCTACACTGTCAACAACTGACCAGATTGAAGCAGGCGATCGACGAGAAGCGGCCAGAATTGGCCAATAGGAAGGTGTTGTGTTCCATCAAGACAATGCCAGGCTGCACACATCTTTGACGACGCGCCAGAAGCTCCGAGAGCTTGGATGGGAGGTTATATCGCACCCACCGTAGCCCAGACTTGGCTCCAAGCGATTATCACCTTTTCAAGCATTTGCAAAATTTTCTTGATGGTACAAAACTGGCCTCAAGAGAGGCTTGTGAAAATGAATTGGTCAAGTTTTTTACCAATAAGGACGAGGACTTCTTCAATCGCGGAATTATGAAATTGCTTTCAAAATGGACAAAAGTTATCGAACAAAACGGCGCATATTTGATCTAAATCCGATAATCCTAACTTTGTTAATTTCATCGTCGAAATAAAGAGAAAAAACGCTCAGAACTTTTTACTTCACCCAATATATTTACAAAATCGGTCCTGAAATATAAGAAATAAAAATAAATTCATTAATAAACTTCTAATATTACAACAACTTTAATTGGTTCCTACAGTTACTTGTAGCAGTTAACAGTTAACAGTTACCTGTTGTTGTCCCGTACAGTCGCTTATAATATATATATGTGTTAATAATCAAAACCCTGCTTTATAGTGACGTTAGAAATAATACAAGGAATACGGCTGAACAATTTGATGGTGATATATTACATTAACGAAGCAATATTTCTCATGTTCCAAAATTGTACGTGACATGCTGCAATGCTCGGTACAGTCTTTTATATACGATAAATGTTAGGCGGCCTGATTGCGAAATCTGGCTTTGTAGAGACCTCGGGGATAGATCGAGGAATATGTTATAACAATTTGGTGCTGATATATGACAGCAATGAGGAAAAATATTTTTTCTTATAATATGGTATTTCGCAGGACTCGCTGCGATGTTTCGTACGACGCACACTTTATTAATATATGATACATTTTTGACGACCGGAATGCAAAATTTGATAGGGACCTGGATAATAGTTCAAGGAATATTCATCAATATCAATTTGGCGGTTATATATATCGCCAACGAGGCGAAATATCTCTTCTTGTGAAATTGAATTCGCGTGATCCACCTTGACGCTTGATGCATCTTTATTTATTTATAATAAAAGTTAGATAGCCCGATTGCAAAATCTGGCTTTGTGAGGATCTTGGGAATAGTTTTAGAGATATGCTATAACAATATGATGATGATATATTACATCAGTGAAGTAATATATCTCATTTTGTAAAATGATATTGTATGCGATCCGCTCCGACGCTTCATACATCTTTATTTATTTATGACACATTTTTCACGGCCTGACTGCAAAATCTGGCTCTGTAGGTTTCTCGGGGTTAGTTCAAAGAAGATGCTATAACAATTTGGCGGTAAAACATATCGTCAACGAGGTGAAATTTTGCATCTCCTACAATGATTTTTCGACTGATTCGCTCCAACGCCTGGTACGACGGATGGCTTTATTTATATATTATAAATTTTTGACGACTAGATTGCAAAATCTGGCTTTATATCGATCTCGGAAATAGTACGAAGAAGATGCTGCAACAACTTGATAATAATACGTATCGTTAAAGAGATGAAATATTGCATCTCGTAAAATGATATTTCGAGTAACTCGCAGCGATGCTTGATACGGTGGATGCTTTATTAATATACGATAAATTTTTGACGGCCGGATTGCAAAATTTGGCTCTGTAGGGACCTCGATAATAGTTCAAGGAATATTCCATATCAATTTAGTGGTTACATATATCGTCAACATGGCAAAATATCTTATGTTTTAAAGTGGAAGCTGGAAGGTATTCATACACATACACACGGCAATACTTATGCACTGCTCATATATACGTTAATCCTAATGCATTGCTCGTGCGAACGCAAGGCAGAAAGGTTAGGTCATATAGACTGCACTATAGTGCAACTGGGCTACACATTCCGTGTTATCTACACTTACAAATTTTGCCACGCATATATCATATTTGCTTATCAAACATACATGGACATCTTCCTTATACTAATATCTAGGGTCGTACAGAGCCCGATTTTGCATTTAGGTTCTTGAAAATTTGTAATAAATGAAAATATAGGTTCGTGCTGCACCGCGGGATGAACGTTCATTCAAATTATTTAATCGATTTTTATTTCGACTTTTTTTTTCCAAAAAACGCTTTGTACGACCCTGCGGACGTTTCTCCTGATTGCAAATATCATATATATAAGGTGATTCTCTCCGTATTTTGTTCATGATTTGTAGTATAATTTTGCCTAGTTCGCAGGTCTACGCGAGAGGTCTCTAGTGTGGCTCCTGCAGACCCTTAATAATTAAAAAATTAAGAATTAATTTACTATTACTATATACAGGAGCACTCATAAATGTTTTTGAACGCATTTTAAAACATTTCATAATACAAATAATTTAATATAAACACTTTAAAAAATTGATTAACTTTTGATTTCTTGGTCCAGAAATAATTAATTACTATTATTTCAAAGATTCACAAATTGTTTTAATTGCAGTTGAATCCTTTTTAAACATGATGCAAATTATTGCATACCGATATTTTGTAAAATTTATTATTTTCTTTATAATTTCATATAAATAGAAAAATTACGGGCAATCTTCTTGTCTATGATTGCATAGATAATTATAATGTTAATTAATATTATAATTTTTTAGAATGTTTTAGCAGAGAACCCACACAAAAGCACCCTTTTCTTTACTAATTTGGCACTTCATTGGGACCGTATTCCAATACGCATGTGTGGAAAAGCGTTCTTGCCAGTCTTTGCTAGCAACACTGTGCGGCAGCCTGACCACGCTGCACAGTAAAGAACACATGCTATGAATGACGTAGATATAGCAACGTACATGTAAAAGCACAGTGTGATTATTTATATTATAAGCTATCGACAGCGATGTTGTTAATGTTAATCTGAACGACATATCCTCCCACAACATGTCTCTGTGCTTTCGCGCTTTACCCAGCAGACTATCGTCGCTTGTTAGCAGCCGTAAATCGTTGTCGAAGCTTGACCGTTATCAATTGCGAAAAAACACAGAGTCGTCCGCCTTTTTGAAGCAGGTAAATTGTGATTCGCCAATTATGGCAGATTCAATGGCAAAATCAATTTGGCAAATTTTGCCCAATCACTTTTGAAACTTATTTTGTACTATAATGTATCGAATAATGTTACAATGCTGTTAACAAAGCTATTCTAACCTCTAATCTATACTTACATAATTGCACGCTTCTAACCTTCTTTAATCAGGTTGAACTGTTATCAATTTGCATAATTTGGATTCTAATAATATTTTGTATTGCAATTAATAAACTTTTAAATTTAAATATGCTAAATCATTATTATACTGTCAAGATTAATTATTTTTGTAAAATTATAGTTTTTGAATACACAAAGAATACCCATAAGAACCTCTGCTACAAGCAAGACACTGATACCTGCTGTGGATTATGTATTACATCAAAATTTATTACCTGCCTCTCTTGACACTTGCTGTCAATGGAACAAGAGGTCAATTGGTCATCGGTTATATCGATATGACAATGAACGGAGAAGTATAATATGTTGGTCGCAAATGCGCAGGTCACAAAGGTTGCAAAGGCTAAGTGTTATCGCCAAAAACAGGAAACATATACCAATAGAAATCATATTGGATGATGTTACAGTATTTGAGATACAAAGTGTTATAGGCAAAGCTAAAAATAATTCATTTCTAGATAATAGTAGAGTAGTTGTACCTATTTTGGAAGATCTTTGTAGTAGTCTAAAATTGAATACCAAAAGCAACATATTATTCATGGATGATGTGACTGCTTTAAAAACGAATCAGCAACAATCATTATCATCACCACCACAAGATAATGAGGGTAAACCAACACAGGAACAACTGCAATGTGTACTCGATTGTCTTAGTCAAGATGTATGTTATGTGACATATGAAGTGTTCTTGAATTGTTGTCTTTTTCTTTTACACATATTTTTAAAATAAAATCTTTTTTAAAGAGAAAGTACAATAATTCTGGAACACTAGTACATGTCAAGTCTATTCTTTGTAGCTGAACTGGTTATGTTAGTTTTTCCTTAGTTAGTAATTTCCTTTCCTTTTTTTTTATATGAAATCATAACTACATACCTCTTCCTTTTTAAATTCGAAAAATATGCATTAGTTCAGCTATAGATAACATTTGTTACTATATCAAATAGTTTCTTTTTATTGAATTGTTTGTAGTTACCAAAGTTGTTTGTGAAGACTCAAAACTATACAATATATAGTGAAGATATAATCTTCATCAATAATATAAGAGGAGCAACAACAAAGTGAGTTAATTATAACTTCTATATTTTATTTTTAAATAATAGATTCATATAATTGCAAGTACTGAACAGGATTTAGATTCAATAGCAGATATGCTGATATCTTTCTCTATACATGTGTGTATGTGTATGAATGCGTAACAAATCTTATACTGTATGATAAATTTCATTAATTTATAAAACTTAGAATTTTATTCAATATTTAATATATTTCTGTATATTAATAATATATGCATGTAATATTTTAATGGATGTAATATTTTAATGTTGTAGGGGGCTTCTGAATTATGTGAAGCAACTAGCACTTTTAAAGATGTTTGGTCACATAAAATTCGCATGTATCAAATTCGATATTGTAAAAATTACGATGCATACTGAAGATGCTACAGTGAGAGTCCGTTGGCGTATACGGGGTGTTTCAAACATAAGAATGCTCAGAGCACTTTGGAAGTATAAAATGTGGGATATAAATAAAGCTTTAGAAATGGATGCTGAAATGTAAGTTTAAATTCTGTTACATGCATATACAGTCATTTGAATGTCATTGATATCATGTATAAGCATTAATAGAATGTTGTTAAATGCTAAAAATTTGATTAAATGTTTGGTGCATATAATGCCATTCTATAATCTCATAGATAAAAAATAAAAATGAAAGAAAATTGTAGAATTCATAATAGGAATTTAATCTATAATGTGTATAAAAGCGTGTTTTTATATTATGGTATTAATCACAATAGTATTTTAGTATTATTACAGTAATATACCTTGAGATATGTACATTTATGGTATGTGCTATGAAATCAATTGAATATCTTTCTTTTTGAGTTCTGTCATTTGGAAAAAGATCGTTTAAACTTTTATTTTCTTAAACTAATATTTATATATTAATCTATTTACTTCATAAATTAAAAGAAAATTATAATAATTTCAGGTGGTATGACGGCTTTTCTACCTTCTATGTGAATAGTGAAGGAAAAATTTATAAGCATGTTGCAGATAAAGTAATGCCTGATCAAGATGTGGCGGAAAAAAAAGATAACCTGCGTATTGCACCAAAATTAGCACTATTCACAGGTTTGACAGACGTGTTCAACGATAATTAATGTTTTTTCAAGTTAAACACTAAATTAAAATTGCACCGATTAGAATAAATGATTCGATGAAGACGAGACAATTTACAGAAATATATATGTGAGAAGAAATGGCTTCCTCATGTATCAATGATTCCTATGTAATGTGTTTTATTGCGAATTTATCAGTACAGCAAGCAAAAAGAGATTAACAGTGCAAACAAATATGAATTAAAAGAATGTATATTGCTAATGTATTTTTTGTATAATTATAAACTACTTGCATCCATTTGTTTACCAATCAGAATAAAAGTTTGCATAGATATTTCTCTGTAAAGAAATGTAATGATTATAATATATTATTCACAAATGTTAAAAAATGCATATCATAATAATGAACCTTATACTTTGAGATATATCCGTAACGTATACGTGCAATTAGATTAACATTTTTAATTAATATTTTTAAATTTTTATTCGCTATCTGAATCGGATGTCTGGATGTCAAATTCGAATGAACGTTGAAGTCCTGTTATGTACTCTGATTATGTACACATGTGTATACATAAATATGTAGCATATCTTATATTCGATAGAATTATTTTAAATTAATATTTTTAAATTAATTAATATTTTCTAATCTTACATATTCTTGATTTATTATTGATTATTCAAAGAATGGAGGATGATATATCAAAACAATAATCTATTATTGTGGTAGTTTTATATTAATGTAAAGCTTTCACAGCAACAAATACGTGCATACTGCATTATATATACATTAATATTATAATTAGAATTATTTGTATATTTACACACAGCCTTATACATGAAATTGTAAATCGTATAAGTAATTCTATTTATAATGGTAACGCGTATATAATGCAATGTGTACGATATAGTTAATTAATGAAAAAAATGTAATACTTTTATCTCAGTAAGTTTTGCATCACATCTCGTATCTATTAGAAAAATATATCTTCTAAAAATTATTAAATAATTCTATCGAATATGAGATATGCTACATACTTATGTATACACATGTGTACGCAATCAGAGTACATAATAGGACTTCAACGTTCATTCGAATTTGACATCCAGACATCCGATTCAGATAGCGAATAAATGTGAGGCTTCAAATTTAAGTTATTTGAAGGATAGTTGAAGTATGGAATTTAAAGTTTGATCTCGGATCCAAGTTCGTAGCAAAATTGACTATGTAAGTAGGTTCGCAACCATCTCTAAATTCCTCTCGAAAATTTAATAATCAATCAATATTTTTTAACTATAATTTAACGATATAATTTAACGATTTAACCCGAGATATGTGATTGTGCACATTTATGTATTTAAATAATAATTATCTCAGTTAATTTTGTTATTAAATATTAATTTGTATACTTAAATAATTATCTCGATTAATTTTGTTATTAAATTGATCTATTTTGTATACAATCCAGATCCGGATGCGGTTTTGAATCTGAATCTCTTATTAGAGCCTGAACTTGAATCTCAATAACTAGATTATCCGAATACTGCGATTTTGAGATTTCATATCGAAATCGATTTCAGATATCTGGACACTTAATAAATATTAGAATATTTGGAACCCTATCATCTGATATAACTCATTAAACATAAATTTGATTTTTGTTACAAAATATACAATTTATTCTAACGATAATAAAAGATGCAGATATTAATTGCATACAAGACCTGCAAAAAGGAATGCACCATAAGTATGATAAACATATTCGGTAAATTAATTTAAAGAGTATTAAATCTCAAAATTCTAAAGAAATGTTTAAACTATAATTTTAGACATTAACATATTCTCACCCAGATAATCATCCATTAACGTTCCAATAGCAAACTAAAAAATGAATAATTAATATTATATAACTTCTAATATATAAATTAATATGTAAAAACTAAATAATTGTTTATTTTCTAAATTTAATACTAACAATTCCTGTAGCGTCGACTCTTGTACCTACAATTTTTAATCTGATTTCATCATCTGCTTGAATAATGACGTCCTGAAAAGGAATTCAACTTATAAATTTTATCATAAATTTTTTCATGACATAACTTACCTCTTCTTTTGATTTGTAACAAGCTGGGTTTACATTTGGACAAAACTGCATGTCCTCTGGAATTGACTATATATTTAAAAATTTAAGTTTGTAATTTATATATGTGCATATATATTACTATATATACTATATATACTATATATACTTGTATATATATTTTTCACTCAATTAATTTATAAACATTGTTTTTAATTATAATTTAAAGTTAATTTATAATGTTTTATATTGATACATATTTATTTGTTGAATAGCAAAAGTAGTTATTTATTAAGAACAATTTTTGAAAACTATAAAATTTTAATTTTCTCGTAACAAACATTTCATATTTTTGTAATTACATTTCTTCAATTAATATTACCTAAATCACCTTTCTTCTCCCTCACTCCTTTATTCAAAAAATTAATCAGAGAATACTATTATTCATTTGTACTTATTACTTTGTACTTTTAACTTGAGTAGCATACAGCGCTATTATACTGCGCCTGTTTAATTTTGAAAATACTAGCCCATTGTTATTAAGAAATATAACAATGTAATTGCACTGCTTGTTATTTATCATATATTTGCAACTACTTGTGTTACTCAAAAGCTAAGTTAAAATTTAGTTTCTAAACACATTTTTGTTTTTAATCATTTAGATTATATCATTTAGAATTTCATTTAATCATTTAGAAAATATAAGTATATAAGTGTTTATAGATAATTTTAGAGAAAACAATTAAGTTTAAATCAGCTAAACAATTCACAATTAAAAAAAATATATATAGGATATATATATTTAATAAGCATATATAGGAATAATATAGGAATAATATAGGAATTTATATAGGAATAACATGGTAATAATATGCTAATCATATAATGATAATCATGTTATCAATAATATGCTAATCATAGGAATTCACTAATTTTTTATAAATTTCATGTTATATAACAGCAGAAGACAAAAAATATTTTTATGTGCTTATTTGCATGTTTAGAGATTGAAATAATTTTTCTATAGTAACTAGAATACCGGAATTTCTAACCAATGTCAAAATTATCAAATATATGAAAGAATATCATGTACACTAGTTTCATGTTATTTCATATTCTTTACAATGATATATTTAAATTTTTCAAAAGTATCAAATTGTTATATCTCATTCCCTATATAATGTTTGCAAACTGTAACATGTTTCAAAAACAAAATTAGAAACATTATGAATAAGTTTTAATCTTTTTACCTTCTTTTGTCACTAATAATTATTCATTTCTCAGTTAAAACTAGTTCATTGAAATTATTTCATGGATATTTAAAAATTTACCTTAATTTTTTACCTTAATTTTTTAAGTCTGTTTTTCATTCATTTCTTCATATTTCAATTATTTTTTCATTACTATATTCATTACTATATTACTATATTCATTATTAGTTATATTGGGAATATATTCTGAATATATATTAGTGTATTACTGATTGCATTCAACAAGTAACATTTCTGAATTCATAATTCGAAATAAAAAATATTCTGGAAATTTCAAATATTGTAAAGATTATAAAATATGATGAAACTTTTACATACAATGAAACAATAAAAAAATATGTTCTTATATACTTTTTAGTTTCAATAATATTTATTGAAAATTAAATATTCAAATTATTTTCTAGAAGCTGTTTGAACAGTTAAACAAGTAGATGAATACATAAAAAATATTTTTTCTTTTATTTTTTCTGTTCTATAACATATCCAAAGTCCATCAAAATTTGTGAAAAGCACTTTCAATAATTTTTTAATGACTTATGTTTGATACAATTACTTACATGATGAGATATGAAACATGAAAGTGGTCCTATTTCAGCAAACATTCCAACCTATAAAAATAATGTATAAATAAAATACTAAGCTATAATTTAGGAATCAATTTTATATGTGTCAATATTCAAGATCTCTCTCTTTCTCTTTCTTTATGTTTATAAAGAACATCAAATCATACCTTATTTACTTGAGTAACAATTGCATCCAATACTTCACCCTTGAATGGCCTGAATACAATAGCTTTATATTTTACTGGATAAATTACAAAACCTTGTCCTGGTTGTATAATGCCAGCTCCTATATTATCAATTGTTGTGACAGCCACAACAAAACCATATCTAAAACATTGTAGTTTTAGAAACTAATATTCACGATACCAAAGTTTAAAATACTCACTTTCCTGTGCAGGTACCTTCTACTTCAGTATAGAGTTTTTGTTTTACTGTATCTAGTAATTGAGGGCCAAAATATCGAGGATGCAACAAAATCTCATGCTCCAGTGAAATCTGCTCATAATATTAAAGAAATAATTTTTTGTGCATATTTTTCAATTTCAATGATTATTACCTTCAATTATACTAAATTATTATTTTATACTGACAATTTAGTATAATGACATTTATATATAAATTATACAAATCTCATATATAAAAATAAAAAATAAATAGTTTAATATACTTAGAAAATTAAATAACTGTTAATTTTGTTTATATTAAAATTAATGTAGAAAAATATAAAAATCGACTTACGTGATAAAACATGTTTATATATATTAATTGGGAAAAATATTATTGGTATCTACACTATCAAAGAAGAATATATGAATTAAGCTAAATTCACGAAATAATATATTAATTAATGAAACTAAGAAAAAATATTAAATAAGCCAAAAAATCTTTTACTTGAATCAACACTACACACAGTAAGGTCGATTGCATACAGGACGCGGCCCACTTGCCGCGCAGCGGAGTTGGCCAGAGAATATTCATATGGTCTGTTCTTTTTAGCTGCATTACTGAACAGGTGAAATAAGTTAAAGTGAGAAAAAATATAGTTGTCTCTCATTCTAACTTATTGCACTAGTTCCGCAGTGCAGCTAAAAAGAACAGACCAATAGACTGCGTTCCGAAATTCACTGCCAGTACTGAAAATATATAGTTTGTGTCACGTATACTATAGAATTTCAGTGTTGACAGTGAATATCGGAACGCAGCCATAAGGCAAGAGCACAGTACCGCGATTCTGTAACTCGTTATTGGAGTTAACGACAGTTTCGTTATTGTTGCGCAGCTTTTCTACGGTATACAAAAGCTGCGCAACGATAACGAAAGTGTCGTTAACTCCAATAACGAGTTACAGAATCGCGGTACAGTGATGGTACTACGGAATTTTATATTCATTCATTCAATATATGGCTCTGAGTAGAGTTATTAAACTCCTTCTCTTACGCCAATCACAACGATTTTGGAAATAAAAGAGAAACAAGGACAACGCGTACGCAGTCCCTAAGATAAAAAATATGCGTAGTTACGGGAACCATAACCAACTGCCGCGGAGGCGAACAAATGACTACGGAATTTATAGACCAGAGAGAAACTTGAGAGCGGTCACCGGGCGAAAGCATATGTCTGTCCTGATACGCCCTCTGAGAAAATAGACGTCAACTAACTCCGTATCGATGCTCGGTAACGATACGAGGTTTATGTCTGTGATTTGAGTCTGGTTAATAATGTCCGAGCTACTAAAACAGACTATAGTGAAAATGATATATATATATATATATACATGAGTAAAACCAGCGGCACACGGTGCTTGTTTTCATGCTGGATTGTTTGCTGGATGAAAATACTGCGTTCTGATTGGTACATTTCCGAAGATGGATGGAAATGCACCAATCAGAACGCAGTATTTTCATCCAGCAAGCAATCCAGCACAAAAACAAGCACCGTGTGCCGCTGGCTTAAGCTAAGACTCCATGCATGCGGTGAGCTGCGGCAAATGCTGCGGTGACCAATCAGGAGGGAGGCGCAAGTCCGGTTGCGGCAAGCTCCGGCATGCGTCTGTCTCCTGATTGGTCACCGCAGCCGTTTGCCGGAGCTCACCGCATGCATGGAGTCTTAGCTTTAGCTTTAGCTTAACAATTGATTCGCTTTGAGTTTGTCTCATCACTAGTGAACAGACCAACTTGGCTTATTTTCCATCATTTCTAGCTTTTTTAAATAACGCTTAACGTGCAAAAATTGCGGTTTAGCTGTTGACGTATTTTCTAGATTTTTTAAAAATTGAAACGGCGGATTTTTTCTCCAAAATAAATTAACTTTTTTTATTAAATTTGAATGAGATGTTATTAGGTGTGATTTATTGTTATTGAAAAGAGTTAATTATAATTAAATAATATATATTACTTTAACATTGCATGATTAAATTTATGTATGCTTGCACTAGACAGATTGCGTAACTGAAATGATTTGATTTGCTGACGCGGTTTGACACAAGTTAAGGTCATTCTACAATACGTGTCGTAAGTTGTAAGCCGTAAAAACTGACCAATTATAGCCGATTATTTTTGTAATAATCGACTGTGATTCGCCAATTCTTACGGCTTACAACTTACGACACGTATTGTAGAATGACCTTTACATATCTTACGTCGCATGGGAAAGCAGCATAAGGCCTAGAATACAATACATCGTATGTTGGAGTCAGATGTCGCAACTCAGTTGATGGTCCAATAAAGGTCATTCTACAATACGTGTCGTAAGTTGTAAGCCGTAAAAACTGACCAATTATAGCCGATTATTTTTGTAATGATCGACTGTGATTCGCCAATTCTTACGGCTTACAACTTACGACACGTATTGTAGAATGACCTTATAAGAGTTTGTTTTCCGGTAACGAGTTTTTCTCATTGGACTTAAGGCCATTCTACAATACGTGTCGTAAGTTTTTAGTCGTAAGAACTGACCAATTATAACCGATTATTTTTGTAATAATCGACTGTGATTCGCCAATTCTTACGGCTTACAACTTACGACACTTAGGCCTGATCTACAATACGTGTTGTAAGTTGTAAGCCGTAAGAATTGGCGAATCACAGTCGATTATTATAAAAATAATCAGCTATAATTGGTCAGTTCTTACGGCTTACAGCTTACAACACCTATTGTAGACCAGGCCGTATTGTACAATGACCTTATGAATGAATCCGACATCTGACTCCGACATACGACATATTGTGTTCCAGGCCTAAGGCCTGATCTACAATAGATGTAAGCTGTAAGCCGTAAGAATTGACCAATTATAGCCGATTATTTTTGTAATAATCGACTGTGATTCGCCAATTCTTACGGCTTACAACTTACGACACGTATTGTAGAATGACCTTAAAGGCTCGTCTACAATAGCTGTAAGAGTAAGGCTGTAAGGCTGTAACGTAAGCTGTCAGCGAATGAAAATATTTCATTTCATGTCTTGCAACCTTACAGCCTTATTCTTACAGCTAATGTAGACGAGCCTTAAGAGCTCTCGCAGGCCAGCGCGACGAGACACGCGACAAGCAACGCGCGATATTCAATGATCGTTCTGCTATTTTGATAATTGTACGCTTATTGGATATCACGCGTTGCATATCGCGTGTTGCGTTACGCTGGCTGTGAAAGCCTTAAGATTGTGAGGATACTGAACTATCTACATAATAGATAATAGGAAATAATAACACTTGATCATTTATTTGTGATGTACAAAGCTTATTTCTTAACTCATAAGTTTGACTTGAACGTAAGTATTATTACTTGTTTTAATATCTTTCTGCACTATTATTTTATATACCTTATATTATTGCTATTATTAACTTAAATTAATTTTGCTACATTTATGATATATGTAAATGCCACCACAATATAAACAAAAATTTCGTCTGGCTTGGTTAAAGTCAGATAAATTCAAAGACTTGCTCTTACCTATTGATGATGACCCAACAAGAGCAACATGTAAGTGGTGTAAATGCACTATTACTGCCAAATTGACTGACATTGATAACCATTCGAAAAGTAGAAAACATATAAGAGCATCAGCTCCATTTACTTCATCGTTTTGTCAAAAGAAGATTGATTTTCCTATAAGAAATAAGAAGACATCAGTTGCTAAAAGTAGATAATACCGCGTATATAATACTGCTTACAATAAAATGAAATATGAAAAAAAAAAAATATATATATATATATAAAAGCGATATTGTATCAATAATATAATATAATTATATTATTATGAATAAAATTAATCAACAATAAAACTAATTATGTATTTATTTTATTCCTTTTTTAAAAACATATGCACACGTATACATAGCGCGCGTGCACACATACACACACACATTTATTAATTTTAGCTTATTTCTGGGGTTTTTTGGAGAAGCATTTGACGGATTTTAAAATTCAGAGTTGGCAACACTGGAGCAGACACGCGACACAGGCACAAGTAATGCTGGAAATTCTTAGGCGCACGGTTGAGGCTTAAGCTAAGACTCCATGCATGCGGTGAACTGCGGCAAACGGTTGCGGTGACCAATCAGGAGGGAGGCGCAAATCCGGTTGCGGCAAGCTCCGGCATGCGTCTGTCTCCTGATTGGTCACCGCAGCCGTTTGCCGGAGCTCACCGCATGCATGGAGTCTTAGCTTTACCCCCACCACTCGATTTTCTGTTTTTTCATGCGCTTGGCGCGTGATTGAGCGAGATTGAGATAGCCCGTTTATGCTCGCCTTGTCGCACACTGAGCGAAACAGCTTACTCATGATCAGTGAAAGCAAATTTCAACCTAGCGGCTCCGCGACTCACGGTGGAAGGGGAAACGCGCAACGAAAGCCGCATCAGAGAGAAGCCTGAGAGCGGGCATGGCTGCATTTACACATGGATCTAAGAATCTATGGATGGAGCGCAAAGTAAGCTTTCAGGCAAAGGGGTTGGGAAATTTGCGGTAAGGGGAATGAGAGCACTCTCCTTCTTTATTCGCCTATTGTCTCTTTCTACAATAGGACACCGTCGGCTAATAATTTGACCGAAGCCAAGAATTTGACCGAAGATATCCGAAGCTTAAGATATATAGTCAATAAACATGTCAGAGAAATTCAGTTTCGAAGTTTTTTATGAAGCTTATTGTGAATGAAAATAAAGTTCTATGTTTTTTCTTTGACAATGCCGTTCTGCATAATTTCGGGCTGTACTAATCGGACCGATCCGAAAAGAAAAAGAGCCTTGCAGATCGAACTGGAATATTGTAGAAGAATTTCATTTCACAAGTACGTAATATTATTTGATTTTTAACTTTATTTCGTTTATAAACATTGTAAAACGTATTATTATATATAGTTAAATATTTATATAATATAGTAATATACTTTCTATGCTTAAAATTGTTGCATATTGTTAAGTTAGGTTATATTTTAGATTTCCTTAAGATTCACAAAAACGCTAAATTTGGTTAACACGTCTAGGACTGCATAGCTGGGATAACCATAAAACGGCAACTATTTGTTCTGAACATTTTGCAGACAGTGATTTTCAGAATTGGTGCACAAGTACGAATATGCAAAAGGCGAATCTTGAAGGACTCAGCCGTACCTTCGGCAAATACATGTAATAATTCGATGTAATAGTTTTGCATCGAATGCAAGAACTTATAGATCTGTGTAATATAAATATTGTTAATAGTGACTAATTATAAGTTTATTTTACATGAATAGAAAATACTCTAAATGGTTACATACAAATACTGTTTTATCTCGAAGTAGCTGTTATTGGTCATTATATAAGCATGTATATTGCCAAAACCTACAAGTTAGTAATTAGTTTCCTTATCAGCAATTAATTTAAATATTCAGATTAATTTATCATGTGAGAAAAATGCATCATCTGCTGACTTCCGAAACCAGGAGCCTCTGGAAAATCATCGCACTTATTTGATAAGGGTAATCGTGGAAACTTATATAAAAACTCGCATTTGTCATTTTCTTAAAGAAT